CAACAAAGTGGGATATACACTCTTCCTCTCAGCAGTTCTAGGAATGAATGTCGAGGGAACTTACAAGCAATAGCCAACTCTTATTCACTCTTCCTCTCAGCAGTTCTAGGACTGAATGTCCAGGGAACCTACAAGCAATAACCAACTCTTGTTCCAGCTCAACCTCTCATCAGTTCTAGGACTGACTTGTCAAGGGAACCTACAAGCAAAACCAACTCATAGTTAAGACACGAGATTTACGTGGTTCGACAAATTTGTTTACGTCCACGGGAGGGGTTTTTCACTATGAGGAGAATACCAAACTTGTACAACTTACAAGCTCTCTCTCTTTCTCTCTCTCTCTGATTTTTCTCTCTTCAAAATCTCTAAAGAATTTCTACTCTTTTTCTTTTCTTCCCCACCACTTCTCTCTTCCTCACTTCTCCTATTTATAGGCAAAGAAGAGGGGACAAGAGAGTATGGGTGAGCATGGGGGGAACATAGGTGAGCATGGGAGGAGCATGAGGGGTTCCACCATCTCTTGTCCCATCCCACATTCACACTAGCATATGAGCAAAACAATTATGAACAAGATACAACACTTAACAGAGGATAGTCCTTGGTCTTCGGAACTATTGTAAATTGTCTTTTTGTTAGAGGTTACAAGATTATCACAACAGGATAGCCGAGCAGATCTATCTAAAAATTATGACTGTCAATTTGATAGATTTTCAACAGTAAATAAAACTATAAAGCTATTGTTCTAAATTGTTAGAAAATTCACTGCAAATAATCAAAAGTAATTCCAAAAAAAGGGTTAGAAACGCAGTCCTGAGAAAGGGGTAATCGTGTGATCACTGCCTTAGAATAATAGTCGCCGCTTTCGCAGAGGCAATTCTACGACCACGGTTAGCGGTAAGAACCCCCCGAGAAGGCCGGCACCAAAGTTTACTGTGAACTTTTGGTCTCTTGCTCAATGGATGTTTGCCCGACAAATTAAAACCAGAAATCAAAATATTGTAGAGAGTTATGAGAGAGAGAAAGAATAGGGATTGCTTACTTTTTTCCTCATATTTTTTATCATTCATCAAGATCCCTTTTGTAGTTATCTTCATTTTCCCGTTGAGATAATTGCTGCCATCAGGAGGAGGAAGTTACGCTCGTTGATGAGGCTGAAGAGGACGCCGACATTACCGCCATATGGAAAGTTCCGCTCTGAGGAAAGAGGAGAGAGCAAAGGACTCGGGTATTAATTAGGAGAAACGGAACATAGAGAAGAAGATAAGAAGAGAAATAGATATTATGTAAATACACCCCTCAAAAGTGTTGAATATCATGTCTCCATGATATTATTTTGATGATAACAATTTATACAATGTGTATTATACAAATACACTAACTTTTATATGCAGCTTTTAATATCAAAATATGAATAAGTGCAAGTTGAGTTCAAGGCATTATGAAGTGAAGAAGATGAAGAACATATGAGATAGTGTATTTTACATTTTCTTTACGTAGAATTATTGTACAAGCCTTGATCACTCACACACACACGTAAATATTAGAACACACTAACATAGGCTTAGTGTGTTGGTTAACTATAGAAATCCCCTATGTTAACCATTAGAGTTATAGTTAATAATTGAGCATCAAAACATTTAATTCATATTATTTTTTAACTCTTAGTAGTCGACTAATTAGAATAGTAGTCGACTACTCATGTATATGACCTAAATATAAGTTTCTATCAGTTTACAGTATAGTCGACTAATTTGAATAATAGTCGACTACTCAAGCTTATGACAGAAATATAAGTTTCTGTTATTTTTACAGTATAGTCGACTAATTGACTTTACAGTCGACTACTGAAGGTAAAATACATTTTTCCAATTTCTGTCTAATTACAGTATAGTCGACTAATGACCTTTATAGTCGACTACTGAGAAATTTTTTGACTTCACAGAGTCTGTTTAAATTTAGTATATGTTTGTGGAAAATTTACAGTAAAAGAAATGAAAGAAAATTGATTTGTATTCCTTTAATCTCAGTTACAATTGGATTTCCTGATTACAAAAGAGAAGAGGATTGATCTGAATCCTCCCCTTTGTTTAAAACTGAGTTCTTCACGGTAGCGATAGAGTGCCTCCTTCGAATGCTTGCGTCGAATTTGCTCTCTGTTGACGATCCGAATATCTTGATTCACTGGAACGATGTCTTCTCCTCACGATTTGACGTTGTGGAGAACTTGCGTGGCAAGTTTAAAACTCTTGATGAGTTGATAACTCTGATCGAGTTTAGAACTCTTGAAAAAGAGTTGATTTGAACCGAGAATCGGTTCTCAAGCTAAGGCCCAAGGCTTCAAGGAATGCTCCAAATGATGAATGTCGATCTTTCCCTTTGCTGCCAAGAAGTTCCAACCGGCCGACCCCTGAATTGAATTGATTTTCAGTTATTTATAGGGGATTAAAGGGTGTAACCACCTCCTTAATTCGCTCCTCCGTGGGGCTAATGGGATGTAACCGCCCCCTTAAATCACTTATGAGTGGAGTTGTGATCCCCTCAGATCGTGGGAAACAGTTTTGAAACTGTTCAGCTCGTGTTTGAACGAGTCAAACGCAAAATCCATGTTCTGATGCGAATTCTGCGTTCAAACGCAGTGTTCGGAAGCTCAGACGCAGCAATTTGGAAGCTGTGTTGGCATCTTGTTGAAAGCTGCGTTTGACAGGTTGGGAGCTGCGTTTGACGGCAGGTGAAAGCTGCGTTGATAGCTTTCGGAGACTGCGTTTGTGGCCGAACATGAACTGCGTTTGCAGCTTTTGGAGCTGCGTTTGTAGCTTTTGGAGCTACGTTTGTAGCTTTTGGAGCTGCGTTTGCAGCTTTTAGAGCTGCGTTTGCAGCTTTTAGAGTTGCGTTTGAGCTGCGCTTGGAGCTGCGTTGAGCTGCATTCGTAGCTATGAACGCGATGCGTCTTGATGCTGGTGTGCGGGGAGGACTTCCACAGTTTGACTTGAAGAGACCGTCGATTTGTAGTCTCTTTCTGTCGAAGCGTTGCAAAGATCGTCATTTTGTAATCTTTGCTTTAGCTCTATGATATATGAGAGTCGTCAGATTGTAACTCCCGATGTTGATTATGAAGGATGTTTGATTAGAGCTTCCATCAGTTGTCGTGAAGGTCGTCAGATTGTAACCTTTAGCGATCTACGTGAAAGTTTTCAAATTGTAACCTTCTGGAAGTCGTCAGATTGTAACTTCCATCATCGGTGTTTGATGGGGATCAGCTATCTATTGTGATTTTTAGACAGCCTACAGTATAGTCGACTATTCTGTCTTGTAGTCGACTACAGATACAGATTTTCAGTTTTCAAGTTTATTGGATTTCTTAAAACTAAATACCCAAAACCCAAAACCCAATACCCGTTTCACTTAAGTAGAATTCATCTCAACCATATATTTTCAACTCTATCAATCCTAGCCACATATTTAAGATAAAATCTTCACCTTTTATTCTTTTTACAATTAAATCTGAACCATTCAATTTAATTTTTTTAGAAAAACAATAAAAACCTAAAACTGCCCACTAACCTCTCTTAAAACCGATGCTTCTTCTTCCTCTCCTCAGAACCCATTGAATCCAAGTTAGGGCATCATCTTATTTTCATTTTTCTTCTTAAAACCTTCATCAAATTCATTGTTTTCTGAAGTCTGACAGATCCTGTAGTCGACTACTCCCAGTCATAGTCGACTAATCTAGGGTTTTAACAGTTTGTGGTAATTTCTCAACTTGATCTTTGTATCTTTTGATATTTTCTGTTTAATCATGTCTAGAGCTAAGAAAGCTAAGCAAGTTCATACTAATGTCAACGATGAAATCATCATATACTTAAAAAGTCCTGATTTACTTGAAGAATTTAACAAAATATCCACTTTTAAAGTTCTTCCAGGACGATTTGTAAAATTTGATGATTTTATTCCATGGAACTTTGGATCATATTTTGATAATGTGGGATTGCTTGAATTATTCTCTGCTGAAAATAGAAAACCCACATATTCTTTTCTTGTTCAATTGTTCTATACTAATATAGAACGTGTTGGAACTATTGGTGATACTGAAAAGCTTAAAACTCTTGTTAAAGGAATAGAAATTGAATTGACTACAAAGTCAATTGGAAAAAATTTTAATATTCCTTTTCAAGGAGTCTCTCTTAGGTCTATTAGAATGAATGATTCAGATTTATTATCAAATCATATATTTCTTCCTAGTTATAGCAAACCTTTAAATAATACAAACAAACTTCGTCCAATTCCTAGATTCATTGCACGAATCTTAGCATATAACTTATTTCCAAAAACTGGGAGTTTTCATTTTACTAGTTGGATTGCACATGCAATGCACGTGGTAAATTTATATTTTTTTGTTTTAAATTTATAATTTTATTTATAATGTTTTGATATAAAATTAAGGAATGTAAGTAATGGATAAAACATATAGACATAATCTAATCAATCAACATTTGAACAATTAAATTATATTTATTGATTGATTGGTAGGGGCAATGCAAATTTGTAAGCTGGTTAAGGGCTCACATTTATTTGTCATAAGTGAATTTTCGTTACAAAAAACATTACCGATTAGATTTACATTTAATGGAACACATTTGACTGTTTGAGAGAAACTTATAAGAATGTAAAATAATTACAAGTTAAGAAGGCAAACAACCGACATCTACCAACAATGAATTTTTTCCTTATGTATTTATGCAGTTTCTTTCACTGTGATGTAATTGTCCAAACATTATACATGCATTATGAGTCATGCTCTCAGTACAAATGTTTCACTCAATGACTCACTAAAGCTACTAAACTGAATGATTAATGTTACATTTGAGACGAGTAATACAACGTTAGAGGAATGACTCACTAAAGCTACTAAACTGAATGATTAATGTTACATTTGAGACGAGTAATACAACGTTAGAGGTTAGCCGTCGCTTTCTTTAAGAATGGAATGATTAATGTTACATTTGAGACGAGTAATACAACGTTAGAGGTTAGCCGTCGCTTTCTTTAAGAATGAGCTTTATTCAATAGTATTTCGAAAGTCTGCTTTCCAGAAGACTATCCAAAAGCCGAAGCATGTGGCCAAGCCAATCGAGCTCTTGCTGCACCTTCATCATTATAATTTAAACAATACCGATTAGATTTATATATAAATGTTATTAGTTCATAAATAAAAAAGAACAAAAAATACATGCATTTAATGATGAAGAATTAATTAATTGAATAGTTTATTGACTTAGTTTCATTGTTTCTATAGTAGTAGAATGTATTTTATAAACCCCATAATTTGATTAATCATGTGTCTATAATTGGGGAAAATGTCCAGAATCATACTCTTCGAAGTTAAGGGTGCAAGCTCAAAAATGATTACTAATTGTTTGCCTTTATTAGTTTATTTGGTAGTAAATGAGAGTCTTCTACATCATGGCTCTTTGAAGTTAAGTTGAAAAACTAAAAAGTAATTGGTAATTGTAGAAAGGGTGAAGAAGGTTTAGTGGCTGCCAATACTATTTAATCCTTGCTTCTTCTTCTTATTCTTCTTATTTTCTTTATTTTTTTTAAATTTTTTAATTTTTTGCTTTATTTGGTTTTATTCTGTAAAGTATTATGATGGCTGATGTTCAGGTGATGCTTTTGTTCGAAGGCTTCAAAATCCCATGTCTGGGGGAACTATCAAATGTTATATCCTAGCTTGTGGTGAGTGACTACGACGATTTGTTCGCTCCCTATCTTGTTATAACTGTTATATAAACTTTTGTATATGGGACTTTTTAAGTTATGTTTGCATCGCTCTTGTAAATTTTTTATATTTTAATATAATTTCAAATAATAGGTCACCTTGCCTTAATTTTTTTTTAAAAAAAAGACGGGAAGATGATTAAATACATATTAAACACTATAGTTTTTATCTAACTTGGACTTGAAAAAAGTTTAGGCCATACAAGTACTTGAATAAATTTAAAACTTAATAGATCCCACCATTTCAGATAACCTTAGGCATATGAAATAAGAAAGGGAAATAATAAAGGGAAAGGACAGACCATTCAGAAAAATCTGAATGTAGTACCTTGATAGCAGCAACATCAGATGCAGGAGGCTTAAGGTCCAATGCAATACCAAAGTAGAACATGTCCTTAGGAGGAATATTTAGGTTCTTGTGAATCTTCCCCATCAACGTTTAGATGATGCTCTCACATGGAGTGAAGTCCTTAACCTGCTCCAAATGCTTCAATGTCCTATATAAATATCATAGGACAAAGCTCCAATATAACAAAGAACCAATATATGTTTGGATATTTTCTTGATAATCAACTAAATTAAAAATGTTCAGCTAAATTACTTATAAACATTAGCACTTTCAATATTAAGTTTTGTACTGGTAAATCATGTTCCGGAATGCATAAAAAAGAGTAACACCAAAAGAAATCAATACATTTATGACAATTAAATTCCAAGGTTACTAATTTGGTCCACAGTTATAAATTTTATTGAACAAATAATCTTTAATTGTAGCTGTACTTGTAGTTTGTCCACATATTATCTAAATTATCAAACAAATATGTGCACTGGATATAAATTGGAACCTGTCCATGGATAAGTCCTATCTATTTTAATCTACAAACTCCATAGAAGCCTCAACACTATTTTAGTAGTACTTGAACCCATCAAAATGTTAAAATGCAATTTGCTACGAGTATTCACATTTGAAAAACAATGGTGTATTGTCATTGCAGACATTCATTTTATTTATATCGTGCAATTTTCTGAACCTATAGCAAAAGGAGATTGTAGTTACCAACTTGAGGTTGACATAACACACCTGAAGGTATTTATGATAAATTGCAAAAGGTGCATAATATGATAAAATTGGTAGTAAATCTTCATTATACTCTTCACATCCATTTCTGTTGCAGCAACTATCAACCTGCAAGATTAAAAGGAAAAAAAATGCAACACTTTAACAATCAGTCAAATAAATCTTGTTTAAAGATATTTTATCCCAATTTTCTACCTAGTAAAGCCTTTAACTTTCCATGTTTTTTTGTTTTCTGATGATGGCTTCCTTACTGCAGTTATTTTTTTTTGGAACTAAGGTAGAAGTGATATGTTGTTTGTCATAAACTCCATCAAAAGAAAATGGCAATAAGGACGTATTACATGAATTATAATGCAGTTCTAAAGACTGGATGTTCGGGTCCTTTTCAAAGGAAACATCCACATTGTTTTGAGATATAGATAATACAGAAAATGGTGCTTGAAGAATCCTGCATCAATAAGCATCATTACTTCAATAAGTAGACTGCGGAAAATGTATATCCTCGTTTCTGTATAATTTTCCTCTTCGATTGTTATGCGGTTAGAGCATGTAAAAGGGATGCTGGACTGTACCTGCGGCAGACTTTGTTGAATGTCAAATCCTCCATACGAATCCAAGGCATAGCATTCTTTGTTGAATGTCACCAAAGCCTCCATTGCCATTGTCTGACCATACGAATCCAAGGCATAGCATTCTTTGTTGAATGTCACCAAAGCCTCCATTGCCATTGTCTGAAACTCACAATTGGAGCTACCCATAGCATTCTTTGTTGAATGTCACCAAAGCCTCCATTGCCATTGTCTGAAACTCACAATTGGAGCTACCAACACTAATTAAAAAACATGAATGCAATGAAAATTACAACTCATGTTATTACTTTGTCATCTTCTATCTCTTTCTCATTTATATTCCCATCGCAATGTTCAAAGCTCATACTTCACTTTTTCCAGGTCTATATCTTCATTTGTACTTGGTGGAACTTTCACCTTCACCATACCTTCACTTTTTAAATTATTTGAAGTTAGAACATAAATAAAGAAATAAAAAGGATAGCGAACACTTGGGCTTCAGAGATTTGGCAGTGCGTGTGAAAAGTGAAGGGTTAAAAAGTAAAGGGTTATTCACATATTACCTTCTTTCAACACCTACAATCTTCCATCTCTTTCTCATTTCTCTTCCTATCACTGATTTTTTAGAATCATCGCCGCTATTAATTATTTCATACCACTGATCTGCTTCACAATATGATAGCCAAGGTAGTAATAGAAGTTAGCCGCGGCAAGAAGAAAGTATATGCAATGCAGTGCACAACAGAACAAAACAAAAATGAATCTCCGCATCGATCATGGCAAAACCTACAGGCTTCACAAGGAGACAAATGCAGATAAGTATAAAATAATGAATACGACGACCTAAAAGTGTCCATATTATCAAGCAAGAACACCTTTGATGTGAAAAATAATTATGCACGGAACTGATCCATATTTCTCCTAACAAGGGTCACATTCCATTTTGACCATGAATGATGATCTACTGTAAGGTGATTACAATCCTTAATAAGAAACCGCATACTATCATCTTATACTGCCTCAGGTTGAAGAATAATGATTATTCAAAAATAAAAACAACAAAATAGAGATAGGCCCATCCACAATCAAACAATTTCAAAGAAAGAAGCTTTATCTTTTTGGACTCAAATCCCCCCTGCCACCTCCGGGAACTGTGTCTGACAAGTTTATCGAATATTATCTTCAAACACCATTAACTGATGAAAGGTACTACCTTCAAAAGTGCATATGTAGTCGAAGAAGAAAGAATATTCCCAATTGTACAGTCATTTTACAATGCTAGAAAGCATTGACTTTATTCTTCTTACTAACGAAGATAATGTTCCACTTTAGCAATATGAATATAAACTTCTGGTACCAAACATTGAAGTGGAAACCACCAGGAATAAGCCTCTTTTAAGTAATGAAAATATAGTTCTACATATTATTCAAATTATGCAATTCCAGGCAAGCAGTGGTTAGTAAGAGGGGGCTAGAACTACCTATATATTTGAGATATACTGGTAATTTCCTGTTCCTTGTGAAATGATCCTGCAAATTTGATGGTTAACTTCAGTAAGGAAAAAAATATCACAGCAGCAAGAAGAGCTGTGGATGAACACATCACAAGTATAAATCACACGCTACACCAATATATTAACAAAGATGTAATTTATATGATATTGAAATGTATTAGATTTGCTTATAAGAAAATTAAAACTTATATCATAATAAAATTTATTAAAAGACTGAACAAGGATATTCAAGCATTATTAGCTGAAAATGATAGTGGTTTTCCAGATATAAACTAATAAAACCCAAATGATTTATTTAGAAAATTATTAGCTGAAAATGATAGTGGTTTTCCAGATATAAACTAATAAAACCCAAATGATTTATTTAGAAACAGCAGTAAACCTGATAAGATTCACTAATTCTGCAACTTCTATTAAACAGCAATAAAATATAACTTTAGCGACTATACCTAGCACAGACCTTTATCTTTTGAGATAGCCATAGACCAATATCCAGAAGAAGGCGATTTCCAGATTCGTCCTTTTCATTGATGATGCCCACATGTTGAGCTACATGGTCCTGTCCTGCTCCTTCTGCCACCACAATAACTATGTGACCATTTTCTTTAAGTCGTTGTTCAACAAACTCATAAAGACCACCGGGGCCTTCCAGATAAAATGGGGATTCCGGAATCGAACAACAATCCTGTTGCAGAATATAACTAAGAAGTTCTAGAATTAACATAAATAGTTAAGCAAAGTGTGAACTTGCTGATAAAAAAGCATAGGAAAATAATTCCTACTGAAGATTGTAACTTGGAGATAATGTTGGGCTTGTATTAGTATTTGCGATTGTGCTCCATGTGGGTGCATGGGGGTTTGATGATATGCGCTCTGTTAAACTTCCGAAGGAGTTGAGGCCTATGAATGTGCATACAATTTGTGGTAACTAATGGATCTGCAGGTAGCACATATCATCACCGCCAGTATTTATGCATAAACATATTATGTAGGTATTTCCACATGCATGCATAATACAGTCATGTCTGTGGGTTTTTATTTCCACTAAGCTTTTAATTTTGTCATTGAACAATTAATGCAGAGTAATAACTAATAATTCTTTCATAGTACCAACCGCAGCTGAAAGATAGAGTTTTCCTGAAAAGCATGTCGAATTAAATTTCTGCATTTTTTTAAGTAGTTTGATGGAGGTATTACCACATCTCTACTCGCCAAAGTAGCATACATGGCAATAAACCCTGCAGCAAATACAAGAATTGCCCCAGCATTAGATTGATTGGCACTGAGTTTTCAACTTCAAAGTGAAAGAAAACAAGATTTAAAGAAGCATTTAAAAGAGAGATATTGTTGTAATAATGGAAAACGTCAAAAATGCCAGCTTACCGCTGTAGCGACCCATGAGCTTTACAATACCAACACCATTTTCTACACTTTCAACTTCGACATGCGCAGCATTTATGGCCCTCTGTGCTTCTTCAACAGCAATATCGAAACCAAAAGATTTGTCTATTACCTGAAACCACCAAAGAACTCATCCACCTTTCCACAAGAAAACTGTGTAAAAGCATAAAAGAAAATGTAATGTGATACACTACACACATAACCCTGACACAAATATGTGGGCTTATGCTTCAATAATAGAATCTTTCAGCTTATTTCTTCTTCCTCCATCAAACATAGTATATCCTGGCTACTTTATCAATGGAATACCCTTTCTCTAATTATTCATTCTATTAAGGAAAGTAAAATCTACAAACATATGGTAAACCTAAATATATTATTTACATGTTCATTTTCGTTCTGTTAATTCATCATATAAGGAAGTTTTGTTCAGTTTGGTCATTTCAAGGTAGTTACAGAAAAATACATATATACTACAAATTAAAAAAGAGCAGCATGAGGTGTCAAATAAGTAATTAATCATATAATTATAATAAGCATCAGAACTTAAAACAAGTATTCAAAAATTTCCCTTCATGCACAATGTGCATAATTTCAATTTTAGCAAAAGTGAACAAAGTTCAAGTAACAATTCTGTGAAATAGAGTGCTAAAGTAAAGTCACAGAAAATAAGCATCAGAACTTAAAACAAGTATTCAAAAATTTCCCTTCATGCACAATTTGCATAATTTCAATTTTAGCAAAAGTGAACAAAGTTCAAGTAACAATTCTGTGAAATAGAGTGCTAAAGTAAAGTCACAGACTCCCAAAAGTAAGGTTGTCTATGGATATGTAATCAGGAGCAAATTCAATTCTGATGTTTTTTTAATCTCGTCATTGTTAGAATTATTCATCAAATGTGGGGTACTGAATGTTGCCTGCTGCATATTTTCAAAGATGACATTCAGGAATCTAGTGACATGGAACACAATGATACACGGCTGTGTTCAATTTGGATTTCCTACAGCATCGCTGAGGCTTTTCTGTCTTATGCAACATAAAGAAGGTTTAATGCATGATGCCACATCTATAGCTGGTGTTATCGAAGCCGTTGCATAAAAAAAATTAAAAGATATCAAAGGCGAAATCAAAAACTGAAAAATAAAAGAACTAAATTAAACTAAACTTACTTTATACTCACGATAAAGCTACTGAACCTTTGTCGCTTGAATCTGTAGAAAATTGAGAATTAGGTCAAAATTATTAGAATTAGAAGAAAATGAGAGGACTGGAGAAATGAAAGGCGATAGGGTGAATTAAGCATAACTAAAGCTTAGATCTAGGGTTTAGTATAGAGGAGTGAAGACGAAGAAGACAAACCTTTCTGAATGCCAGAATTCTGAAAACTGTGTAGATGAATGCTGAGGCGTCGCGATGATGATTAGGGCATTAATAGTCATCTTTGCAAATTGATGAGTGGAAGTTCGTGGGACGGCGATAACAGTAAGCGATGAACTCTTCACCTTCAGCGGAGAGAAAAACGCTTAGGTAACCGAAGATCTCTTCGGCTTCGGCAGAGAGGAAGGCTGATTTCGCTTAGACTTGATAAATTGGGTATATTTAAAAGAGGTAAAGGTTAATTTGGGAAGGGGAAAGTTTTTCAGGAACTGGCTCTTTTAAAGGGTAGATAGATTTCCCTAGACTTAGCAAAAGCACTATATGCTATAATGAGAAATATTCAAGTTAATTGGGCAGAAGTTTATTATGATAATCTTCTGACAATACCAAAATGATTTCTTCCTTATGGTGCCTTTTTAACAAAAGTTTTTAACAAATTTCATGTGGATCTTCATTCTGAAAATTCGGTTGTTCGTTCCATTGAATTCTTTGATTCCAATGCCCTAACTAGGATGAAGTTAACAAACAAAATCCTCAAGATGAACCTCATCCTCATCAAGAAGAAATTCCACAAGATATTCCACAATCTTCAACTCAAGCAGGACCTTCAACTAGTCAACAACCACCACAAATGGATACATAACCCTCTTGTTTCTCGGATGCGCAATATAATACTTTGTCTGCATGCATCCTTGAGTTAGAGACTGGTCAGCAAGCTCTTTTCTCCCAAAACAGTTACATTATCAGTAATCAGGAGGAGTTAATGAAGGAATTTGATAACTTGGACTTGAAGCTTAGTGCATTCTTCCAAGGATATCAACCTCCTCTAGCACCTTAGAAGATCATGCATGCATCATTTAGTTTTTTGGTTGAACTTTATGTTTATTTTCAAAACAATTATGTTCTTTTGTTAGTTATCTATGTTTAAGTATCAAAAACTATATAGTTGTGGGTTGTTATTAAGACATATGTAATGTGCTATGTTGCTACTATGTCAAGTATGTTGATTATGTGTTTACATTACTATGATGTTGTTTGAATAGTTAATATATGTGCTATATATTTTAAACAGATTATGGTGATGAACATTGTGGAACTTTTGGTCTTTATGGCAAGTCTTTGCCTACCTATTTGGATGAGTGAAGTTATGAACTATGTTCATAATCTGGATGATTTGTTTGAAGTATTAGCTCATGTTGAAGAAATAATGTCATGTTTAGCATAAATGTTTTTCTTTTTGTTGATAACAAAGGGGGAGAAATGATATAAATATTAGATTTATGTAATATTATAGACTCTAATATGCATATATGCAGGGGGAGTAAGTATGTTTATTTCATAATGTTTAAATTTGTTTATAAAATACACACATATGCATAAATTATTTGTTATCATCAAAAAGGGGGAGAATGTTGAATATCATGTCTCCATGATATTATTTTGATGATAACAATTTATACAATGTGTATTATACAAATGCACTATCTTTTATATGCAGCTTTCAATATCAAAATATGAATAAGTGCAAGTTGAGTTCAAGGCATTATGAAGTGAAGAAGATGAAGAACATATGAGATAATGTATTTTATATTTTCTTTACTTAGAATTATTGTACAAGCCTTGATCACTCACACACACACACATAAATATTAGAACACACTAACACAGGCTTAGTGTGTTGGTTAACTATAGAAATCCCCTATATTAACCATTAGAGTTATAGTTAATAATTGAGCATTAAAACATTTAATTCATATCATTTTTTAACTCTTAGTAGTCGACTAATTAGAATAGTAGTTGACTACTCATGTATATGACCTAAATATAAGTTTCTGTCAGTTTACAGTATAGTCGACTAATTTGAATAATAGTCGACTACTCAAGCTTATGACAGAAATATAAGTTTCTGTTATTTTACAGTATAGTCGACTAATTGACTTTACAGTTGACTACTGAAGGCAAAATACATTTTTTTTAGTTTCTGTCTAATTACAGTATAGTCAACTAATGACCTTTATAGTCGACTACTGAAAAATTTTCTGACTTCACATAGTCTGTTTAAATTTAGTATAGTCGACTATTCTGTCTTGTAGTCGATTACAGATACAGTTTTTCCAGATTTTAAAGTTTGAATTAATGACTGTTTATAGCCGTTTTTAAACGTTTTTAAATTTTAAATAATTATCTTTTCAAGGGCTATAAATAGGTTATTTGTTCAGAAAAATACACAGCCTTACATACCCATAAGCTTTGATCTTTATGCATTTTTCAAGTGTAAAACATTCAGATTTTGAGAAAAAGAAAAGTTTCTGAAATTGCATTTGAACATTATTCAAATACTTATTGTTTAGGCAATTTACAGAAGTTTGAATCATTCCTAAGCCACTACTACACTACACTACAAATCAAGGAATTTACAGAAGTTTGAATCATTCCTAAGCCACTACTACACTACACTACAAATCAAGGCTTATAGGAATCGAAATTGTTATCATTCCTAAGCCACTACTACACTACACTACAAATCAAGGCTTATAGGAATCGAAATTGTTGCTTCAAATGTTTTCTCGGTTTGTGAGAGGTGTTAATCTCTTGGTTTAGAGATTGGTGTGCATGCAAATTGGCAAGGTGTTTGTCAATTGGTGTTATAATTTGCAGGGACTTGCAAATTGGTCAGGTTTGCTTTTGATTTTGTAAGTTTATTCAAAATCATAGTGGAAACTCTCAAGCGGGATTTGCTTGGGAACTGGATGTACACCGGATTGGTGGAACCAGTATAAAACTTTGTGTTTGTGTTTGTGAATTTCTAAGATTGCCATTTTTCTTTGCAATTTATAATCTACTTTGCATAAATTTTAAAAGAATACTATTCACCCCCCCTCTAGTGTTCTAATGTATCTATTTCAGATCCTACAAAAAGATCATATTTGCATTAAGGAAGAAACTTAAATCTTTTAATTAATTCCAACATAATGCGGCAAACCAGTCATCCAAAAGATACCAAAAACCTACCCAAACCTTCAGCCGCCGCTACTGCATGAGGCAATAAACAATACCAAAATAGGACATGATCTATTACCCAAACCTTCAGCCGCCGCTACTGCATGAGGCAATAAACAATACCAAAATAGGACATGATCTATCCTTCGTTTGCTCACCCACTAACAATTGAGAGCTTTCTAAAAGTCCAGTAGCACTGCACACTTGCCGACAAAATGATTAAAATAAAAATAGAAAGCTGTCTTTAGCATATTTATTATGTCTCTATACCTAAAAGAGCATCTAAGTAATTGATGTTCATATTACAGTAAATATTACAAAATATATTATATAAATAGTAAATCAAATCCGGTTATCTGGAATCAAAGTTACTGTTTATACTGTAGTATTTACTATAATATAAATTATAAACAGAAAATCAAACGTATTCATCCGTACTTGAAGTTACTATTCATACTATAATATTTTATTGTATCATAAACAGTAAAGCAAATCAAATATATTAAATATTGGACCATTTTTAAATATAGAGGAATAGATATGAATTCTAAAGTAAATATATTAAAACTCAGATCATTCTTTAAATATAGAAGAATAGATATGATACCTAATTTTTAGTATATAATTATTAAATTAAATGTATTTAGACTGAGAGGGAGAGAAGAGAGAAGTTCAAACTATAGTGCTTATTAAAATAGGGGGCATGTGCATGGTACGGGCTGCACAGTGCACACTATTGCATATATAAATTGCTTTTCTCCTCAAGATCTGAGCATTAACGGAAGCAATAATCTTCTTTAGCTATACAACTCTAATATGTCTTCTTCCTCTTCAGCCAATGATTTCTATCTCAACAAGAACCTGTTGAGGACTGATGCTCTTCATGAGGTTTCTATCTCTACTCTCACTAATTTTTTTAGTACATTTCTTGTTTTCTTTATCTCATTAGAATCTTTACCTTGTTTGATTTTTTGTAGTACATATTAGAGACGAGTGTTTACCCAAGAGAGCATGAGTTACTTAAAGGATTGAGGGAGGAGACTGTCAAAGTACATGAAAGGTAATTAAAGTTTACTTTTGATTATTAATTACCCAGTATTTTGATTATTGACTAAGTTTTCCGACTAAAAGTAAATTATTGCAATATCGGATCAGGTCTTTTATGGGAGTGCCTCCTGATGAAGGGTTGCTTCTATCTATGCTGTTGAAGCTCATGAATGCAAAGAAAGCTATTGAAGTTGGGGTTTTCACTGGATATTCCCTTCTCACTACAGCCTTGGCTTTGCCAGAGGATGGAAAGGTAGACAATTATTTTATTTTATTTTATTTATTTATGTTTTAATGTATTGTGGGATCAAGTAAATTGTGATAGCAATTAAATAGTTCAATGTAACATTTTCTAGAGTTGGAGGTTATTCCCCCTTACTTTTCAGAAAGAGTCCGGATGAGATTAGAGATCTTGGTCTAATCTCATTTTATTAAGATTCCGAAATGAGAAGATCATATATCTAAGTAAGTTATATATGTGTACATCGTCAGAATTATAATTAGAAAGAAAAGAATAAAATTCAAACATGGAGATTAATTAGTTGGTGATTATAGTAGATGGATCTCTGTAGCATGCAACTCCATCTAATAGAATCACAACTTGAGGAAGATCCGAAGATGTTTTAAAAGTTTATTTCTCTAATGCTAGATTTTCCAAAAAAAAAAAAGAACCAACTATTTTTGGATCTATATCTGCCAATTGTAAATTGTAAGGTTTTTTTCGAACTTTTTGTTGCAATTTGCGATGTGGTCAGTTTATTGCAACTCGAAATCAGTTGGGTGATATTAATACAATTTGCTGATGGCTGTTACATCAGCCTATATTTAGTTTTTTTTATTTTTGTATATACAGTTCAAAAAACCCAAAACTTATTTATTTATCTCGCATAGTTGCATTGATGGTTGAGATCAAACAATATGTACGCTGATAAAATGGGTAAATTACACATAACCCCAAGAATTTTCAGCATTTTCGTAGATAAACGCCATAAATTAGAGCAAAAAACACAAAAATGTATTTTGAAAGTTATTGGGGGTTTAGTGTAATTTACCCAAAAGATATTGGGGGTTTTCTGCAAAAGTTATTGGGGGTTTAATGTGATATTGAAAGTTATTGGGGGTTTATTCTAAAATGCTAAAAAATCTTCGGAATTTAGTGTAATGTAGGGTTTACTCTAAAATGCTAAAATATCTTGGGAATTTAGTGTAATTTACCCATGTTAGGATAAAATTTGTGGTTATTGAGAATAGACCCTATGTACTATCACCACTTGCGGATGGACCCCTTGCAGTTTCATTGATGCGGATAGACCCTTCGTGCTATTTGGCCAAGTGGGATAGACCCACTGAGTGAACTATTTTTAATTCTTAACTGAGTCAAGAATGTCTATCCACACCAATAAAACTATAGACAGTCTATTTGCCATTAGGCGGTAGTACAGATCTATCTACAGTGAACCGTGAAATTTAACTTCCAATTGCAGTTACATTTCTTAGGATATTTGACTGCTTGTAGTTGGAGACTTAGAGCTGCAATATGCAAGGCTGTTCGGTTGATTTCCCAGAAAATTAAGCTATATATTAGCTTTCCAAGAAAACAAAACAAGAAATGATTTAAGCCCATTTCTTTCAAAAAAGGGTTGAAATCAATTTCCTTAAATGACGAGTCAAATCAACTAATCTTTTCCTTAAAAATGTGACCAACCAAACAATCCCTAACATCTTTGATTGCTTGTAGTTGGAACTGTATGCAGTTTTAACTATAGAGCAATCTGAAACATGGAATTTCATTTAAATATAATTTAGGATCTTTGTATATAGTTGGAAATATAAAAGGCGTAGGAACTTATTTACGAGCTGTATTGCATATGAAACATATTTAAAGGATTTATAGGAACTAAAAATATAAAAAGGGTTGACAGAATTTTGGAGACTCACATCTCAAGCTTGTTTTCAGGTAAACTTTTGAGTTACTTGTTTTCAGTTATTTGCCTTTGAATTGGTACTCACATCTCAAGCTCAACTTTGAAGTTCTGGGTCTTCAAAGATAATTGTATTCATGTTTGTGAGATGCATTAATTACAGCTCATGATATCTAATATTTTTGTAGATAACGGCGATTGACGTAGACAAGTCAGCGTATGAGAAAGGTTTGCCATTTATTCAGAAAGCAGGAGTTGAACATAAGATAAATTTTATCGAATCAAAGGCACTTGCTGTTCTCGATAAATTGCTCGAAGAGGTAATGTATTAGTTTCCACAGATCTTTTTCTAGACCAATGTTAAACCTGGTATCCAGAGATTTCAGTAAAATTTATCTTTTTGATAGTTAAAAATTCTTTAAAAAAAGATAGTAAAAAATGGTCCATATCTTTCCTGAAATTTCTCTGCTGAGTGAAGTGGATGAGATCTGAACAATAGGGAGAAACACTCACATCTTGCAGACAATAGAGAGTATAATGTACATACTCAGTCACAGCGACTTCAATTTGCGGTTGATTTGTGTCTCACATTTGGCTCATTTACTACCTCACATCTTACAAACATATTAAAATTCCAATAAATTATTATTTGCTAGAAATAGTTCGAACGCATTGATTTTGGACAGTACGGATCAGGTTGGCAAACCCTGTACTTAACTTGGAGACTGGGGAAGCTATTCACGATAATGATAAAGTATCCAGTGGCCTTTTATCTATAAAATTAATTGGGCAACAAAACTCCTCTTAAGTTTGGCCATTTTTGAATCACACCCCCAAACTTTAGAAATTTCACTTAAACCCCCATTAGTTTTATCAGATAACCCCCTAACTAATACTATTAGATCTGATTGTGTATGTGAACCACATGTGTCAAATGACTAAAATGCCCGTGACGGAAAAACCCCTTTCATGTCCTCTTCAATAAATTTAAAGGTAGTCTTATAGGGGAAATAATTTTTATTAGTGATTAATTTAATTTAATAATAAGAGTAATAACTGAGAAGAGTATTTTGGTATTTTTATGAGGCCGTCCACCACACCATAGGAAAAGCTGAAGGGCACAAATCACTTGTAAATGAGAAGTGATGGAATTAAATATTTTTTCATGTGCTATACATCCTCCTCTTATTGGTGAGCGCCTAAGAATTTCTCGTCGTAGTGTGGGAGTGGTTTCGAAAATATAGTTCAGTTATCACTACTCGTTTTGTGAAATTTGCCCAATTTATGGTGCGGCAAAGGATTGTCTACGATTGGATTGGTGGATTTAGAGCTTTTAGATTTGTACATTGATCTAAATGTGAATAGCATTAGCGTCAATGGACTCACGCTAATAGCATCTTGAAAGTTGATGTACATACAGGGGAGATGACAATTCTAGTAAAACAAATTCAATGTAAGCCATTTATAGGTTGCATGTATCTGATACATTATATATAGCTATACTTTTCCTTCAATTCTGCACATAATTGACAAACAAATTGCAGCTGAAGGAAGACGAGCTCTATGACTTTGCGTTTGTCGACGCTGATAAAACAAGCTATGCAGATTACCACGAGCGACTAGTGAAGCTTGTCAGGATCGGTGGTCTCATTGCATATGATAACACTCTCTGGTATGGAACAGTAGCAGAACCAGAGAACCCCTCAATTCCTCCGAACGCCAAAATAATCAGGGAGGCTGCAATTAAGCTGAACAAGTCCTTAGCTGCAGATACTCGCATCGAGTTATCGCAGGTTTCCATCGGTGATGGCCTCACCCTCTGCAGGCGTATTGCGTAATTAATTTGTGTTGTTCTTGGTTCAATAAGATATGTACTTCAAATCGGATTGGAGTTGTTTGTGTTATGAAGTTGGCCAATGTTAGTGCGTTGCTTGAGTATGGAAGTTGTTCTCATAAATTCATTCCATACGTGTTGAACACTTTATCTGAGGGGCTGTTTGATTAATTTGCTTGGAAAGTCACCTGAGAGATGTGTTTCTTACTGTTGAGGCAAAATCTAGATGAAAGGTTTCTCAAATCGTCATTAATTTGTCCCCCCCCCCCCCCCCCCCCCCTCGCTCTCTCTCTCTCTACTACATCTTCTCTCTACTCTCTTCTTCTTAGTTTTTCTCCAACAATAGAAGAATATATTTAGGGAAACCAAAACCCTATCTCTAGCCTAACTTCCTAATTAGAATAGGATTCAAACTCATAATCTTGATGGAACCCAAACTCCTAATTATGATATATCTCTAACCCTATCTAATTCTCATGAAGTTCTACAAAGAATAAAAGACACAATCCCAATAATCTCCACCTTGGATTTGATTCCCAAACTCCCTTGAAGATATATCATCGTCGTCTTGAAACTTTGCCTCTCCCGCTAGAGTGTTCTATTTCTTTCGCACTTCAAATCGAAGCAGTCACTCCTAATCAGCACACCTGCACTCCAACTGGTTGTCTCGTGACCCTCACTATCATCTGCTTCACCGTGGCGCCTCCACATCTCTTGTGTGAACCAATAGATCTTCGCCACCTCCGACAATAAAAGCAAATCAATCATGTTTGTCCTCCCAACTTGAGCCTAACAATAGTCACCCCCTACTTGTAGTCCTTGTGTTCCACCTACATCGCTCGTCTCGAATCATATCGGTGCACCTCTCCTACTCCACACTACGAGCCGGATGCCTCTATCTTCTCCATCACTTACCTTGGACTGAATATGAGCGCTCATCGTCTTCAAGTCCAATGTCACAATCTCCATCTCCCTGTGCGTCACTCGGCCGTGCCCGCTTGCAAACTCCACCTAATATAACACTATCCTCCTCGAGTCTGCACACCAATCAACTCCTGCTCCTTATCTATCATCAGATTTGTCTTGCCGTTAAATAGCAGATTATCAAACTTCGGATCCGAAGAAGTTATTATCCTCTAACCACAATTAAAATTAAAATCAGTCACTGTAGAGATTGAATTTGATAAAACCAACGTCAAAAATAAACCCAGCACGTTCAAAAACCTTAGGAACGATTCCTAGATCACCAAAATCCGCCTCTAAATCCTCGATCAAAATACAAATCAATCTCAACCGTCGGATCTGCGCGAACAGTCTCCCGCGCCGCTATAGTGTCTCTGCTATAGTATCCCACGGCCACTACAGTATACCGCTGCAACAATATTTTTTTCTTTTCATCTTGATTCTTGTAACACTGATCTTCAATCTTGCACGACGTCGTCTTCTATCTTGCAAATTCGCTCCCGGATCCATCACCATCGCTCTGATACTACTTGTGAATTATTGTAACCCTAAGAGTTTGTTGAGGTTCTAGGAGTTCAAATCTCCAATACAAACTTCTTCTCACAAACCCTAGAAATTCTCTCTTTAAGTTCTCTACAAAAATTCTCTCTTTTCAAACCCTAAAACTGCCCCTCAAATATTAGCTCTTTCAATCTTATATAATCTCTAATAAATCAGGAAAGATATATCTAAATCATAGTAGAAGTTGGGGATGAAAGAAATCAAAGTAGGGGGAGGGGAAATGAGGAGAGAGGGGGAAATGAGAGAGGGATTTGGGAAAAAATCCCTCTCTCGGGCGCGGGCTGCCCAAATTTTTTGGGCACGCTTGCGCCCAATTTTTTTTTTCACTTTTGGGTTTTAGCGACGGAAATTTCTGTCGCTAAAACCCTTTTAGTGACGGAAATTTCCCGATAGAAAAATTCTGTCGGGAAATTTTCGTCGGAAAATTAATGGCGGAAATTTTCCGTCGCCAATAGTGAAGTTTCCGTCGGCAAAACTTTTTTGCAGACGGAAAAATAGCAACAGAAAATTCTGTCGCTATAACATGACTTATAGCGACGGAATTTTTCGTCGTTAAAGTCTCGTCGGCAATAATTCATTTTCTAGCTGTCACTTGATAAGTCCTCTAGATACGTCCTTGTTGGAACACTTCACCACAATAAGTTTTGCCCCCTCAAAAAGTATTAGACTCTCATTAAATCTTCAATAAATTTAGCAATTCTAGAAAACAGTCGAAATATTTTATTTTTCAACTTAACTTCCATAACGATGTAAGCCCATATATTACGTTGCCGTATAGATAATATTACATAAAAATAATAAAATAGTCATGGGGGTCAAATGAAAATACTCATAATGTTTTGAGCGTTTTCTGGAGTATGCAAAGCTTATTAGAGTTTTAGTAGAGATTCAAAATTTTAAACTTATAGGGGATTTAGTGAAATTTACATTTAAAATTAATATGAAGCTTCCTACTAATATGATCAACAAGCAAGTTTAAATTATTCGAAGTTATGGCTGACAGCTTAGTACGCAACCGCTATTCTTAAACCATTGCGATCTAAATATTGTTATTTATATTATACTAGTTTTGTGCACGTGCAATGCACGTAGTTAAATATCAAAATTTTTTTTTGATTATTTTCTTATTATAAAATAATTCAGATTCATTTTAAGTTAAAATCTATAAACATGGATTGTTACATTTGCCATAAATTTTATTTAAACATTTTTAAAATTTTAATGAAATAGACGATTAATTTTGAAAATCTCCTGGGGCTAGGAATAAACAACTAACAAGTTTGTAGTGGAAGATAGGGGAACATATTATATTCTTCAGTCGGTATTTTTTTGATAAATATAACTAATGTTAGTGCTAATTGAAGTGATTCATGGACGTTCTGAATTCCATTTGAAATGAAAACTGCTTGATTCTTTTGAAGAATATCTCTAAATTTTCTAATAGTTCTCCATACATAAATCTTTATAATTTTTTACCTAATAAATATTATTACCATTAGAGATCAATATTTATAAATTATAATTAATTAATGTTAAGCTATTATATTATAGTCTTTCATCAGTTTTCTGTGATTTAGTCTTCTATCAATTAACGATACTTATATATTTTTGGTGTTCTAACATATTGGTAAAATTATATGCAGTTACTTTAATTTATACAATAACATTAATTTTTAATCTATCATATATTTTTAAAATTTTTTAATTATTTAACTGGATATTTTTAATTTGTTATTATTACTATTTTTACCAGTATCAACTTGACTATTTTCAAATTCTAAAAAGGGATAGTAAACCTTAAATTATAAGTTATATTTATATATCTTAATGAAAAAATATCACACAATTACTCTTTTCTTTGCCAAGTTCTAAATTTTTAGCTTTTTATTTTGTGTAATTTTAAACTTTTGAGAGTATTTTGTCTAATTTTCAATTTTTTTTTTGCTTTTTTATGTAATACTTCATGTAATAAACTGATAGTATATATGGAGATGTTTCATATATTTTATTAATCTTATTTAAATTGATGAGCTATAGATAGTTCATGGGGTTTTAGGATATGATTAGTATAGATTATAATTTAAATTAAATATTTAAAATAGTACATTGTAATTTTGACTATGAAAAACTTTTCTTGAACTCGTGCTTTTAAATGGAGTATGATTTTTTATTTTCCTTAATTTTTTTATAATTTTGAGAATGGCTTTTGTCTCTTTAATTTGTTTGGTAGATTTTATAAATATTTCATCCACATTATGTACATTTGTTGGTCTACGTTGTTCCTGGGTTCGACTTTTGGGGTAGACATTATTTGTCTCATTAATTAATTTATTTTTTGCATATACGCCCTTCATTTTGTAGACATTTATAAATTTGGTATTTAATAATTTTATTTTTTTGTAGACATTTATAAATTTGGTATTTAATAATTTTATTTAGATTTACATTTCAATTTAAATTGTATCATTATCTTCAATAATTTTATTTAGATTTACATTTCAATTTAAATTGTATCATTATCTTCATACTATGTATATCCAATAAAAATCCATCAATTTATCAACTTACTCTTACTTAATAGAATAATATTTAAAATTTAAGGGTATTTTTGTCCACCAAAAGATTTTCCGAACTCGTGCTTTTAAAGGGAGTATGATGTTCTTCCTTTGTGTTGTGTTTTACCTGATTTTTTTTACAGTACGGAATAATCGCATAGCTAGATATGAGAGTTTTTAAGACTTGGATAATGCAATTTGACAAATACGACTTTAATGATTCTGCATGCGAAGTCATATGCCACATGCATTTTGCAAGATTGAATAGGAATACAAGCAATGGTTATTCAAAATTAATACTTTTATTCTCTAAAATAAATAAATAAATAAATGCTTTTCATAGAAAAAGATACTTCAACTCCTAATCCTTTTCAAACAATGTAGTCCACTAATTTTGTTCAGTCAAATATAGAAACCACTCTATATTTTTTTATAACTTTGGCTTTATACCATACTTGCTCCCCCAAAGCTATTTGATTTGTCTATTCTTACCCTTGAACTATTTGTAGTCTCTACATGCTCGCCTACACCACCTACAACTCGATAACGATTGGTCATTGACCGGTGATTTATGTGGAAGCAAGCGTAAATTAGGTATCCTCCTTTCTTTGTAAACCAATCGATCAACGGGCGATGTGGAAACTTGGAGAAATAACAAGTACAAACAAAAGAGAAAGAACAATATATTGCATAAAATAAAATAAGAGCATACAAACATGTGATGTGTGCGCTTCGGCGATCGTCTACATCCACGGGGAGAGATTTGAGTCTTCTTTATATCAGAAATTTACAATATATAATCTACTCTGGTGATCTCTATAGATTCTACAAAAAAAGAAACACTATCTCAATCTCATTAAACCCCTAGATTTCTTTCCTTACTTCTCTCTACTTCTATCTTACAATTTATTACTCTCATTGGCTTGGTACTTCTAACCCTAAACCTGGAAGATCTCTTTTAAGGCCTTAAAACTTAATGAGTGTTGCTACAGGGACCCCAAAATAGGGGACCCTGAGGGGGACATGTGAGGTGTCAGCCACTGGGGGCTTGATGCACTGTTCATGAATAGTGCATCAAGCCCCCAGGGGCTGACACCTCACATATCCCCTCAGGG